TCTTCCTTATATCACCAAAAATATGCCTGCATTATACAAATATTGTAACATACAAGGTAAGCACTATAGTGTTTTAGAACAAATATGCAAATAACATATTATAGTTTAAACTTCATTAGTGATTATTAATGAAAATCTTGATATCATTTGCTCTAATTCAGCCCTACACACAGTGGTGCATATCATATGCAATGTTTCTACTGAAGTGATGTGACAGCATTGTCTTTCCTAATGGCATTTAATAATCATGCCTTGAGTACATGTGTGAGCCAAAGAGACTGCAGACAGCTATTTCCCTATTCCCCAACCTCCATCAGTAATTATCATTTTCAAAGCTGGAAAAAATAAGAACTAAAATAGGTTTGCTGGTATTACTGTAATATCTATATGAAAGAAAGAGAACTATCAAATTTCGCCATTCCTTTACCTTACCTAATTGAAAAACTACAAGGCTGCAATCCACTGCTTATCTTCCTCAGAAGAAATTTCTCTGAACATTGTTCATTTAACTTTTAAACAAGTTTGCATTGGTAATTATGAAAGACAGGTCTAGATAGTATCTGCTGATATCTCATGGAGGAGTTGAACCCAACTTGACAGCACCTAAGTATAAGTGCCACTTATTAAATTTTAAACTAGACTGTTAAGATTAAGAAGAAAGAGAAAGGGAAGAGTAGCTTACTTTGTCAGTTTGCTAAGCAACAGACTGTTTTAAGTATTGGATAAAGTGATATAATCATAAGTATAAACAAGTATGAGAAAGCAAATCATGTCCATATTTTAAACATTATTTTTAGCCACGATTCTATAAAATACACCAGAAATATGCATGTATGCATGGAGAAGGGGGGTATGCAAATTACTGTTGTTTTCCCCCCTAGTAATTGCTTTATTGCATTGTAAGATATGAAAATCACATTATTAAATACAGATAGTAGCTAGGCACAGTGGTTTAAATAAGTCAAACCTTTAAAGAGGAAAAAATGTATGTCAATGTTCAATATAATATCTAAAATGTAAATAAAGTTGCTTGAATTGTACAATTAAAACTAAGAATGGCATTGATAGACAATTCCGTGCATTTATTTATTTTATAATATCAAAAACGTTCTGATCTTAATGCTTAATAATGTCTCCACTATGTTGTTATTTACTATTGTTTATAATTTTTTTTAAAAAGACAAAATAATAGATATTTGATTTTCAAGGTCCTCCATCTTTATACTCTGTCCAATTTGCAGTATTTATAAATATTTAGATCTCCTTAGAAACTATAAAGTTTTTGTTTCTCAGACTCACATCTCCAGTATCAAAATTAAAGTTAATTCACATTTTCACTACACTGCATGGATATGCCTTTGAAATCAGAGTCCTGTGTTATATACTAAAGAAAATTTCATGAGGTACTACTGTAGACACAAATGTTTACATCTAAATAGCACTCTAAATGACAATGCAAAAATTTCTGGAGTGCGCTTCTCATCCTTGACATTGTTTTCCTGAAGCTCCCAAAATTGGCAGCCACTTTAGTTATTGGCACAGCTGGTGTAATTCAGTGCCCTAGACTGTACAAGGACTAGAATGTACAGCAGAATTGCTGGTCTGTTTGTATTAACAAA